TACAGGAAGGATTTGGGGGCTCCTAAGGGAATGGGTTCAGGGAGTAAGGCAGGTTTTAGGGATGGTTTAGGGGGTTCTGGGGAAATGGGGTCAGTGGATGAGGCAGGCTACAGGAAGGATTTGGGAGCTCCTGAGGGAATGGGTTCAGGGAGTTATACAGATTACAGGAATGGTTTAGGCGGTTCTGGAAAAATTAGTTCAGGAGGTGAGGCAGGTTATAAGAATGTTTTAGGGGGTTCTGGGAGGATTCCATTAGGGAGTGAGGCAGGTTCTAGGGGTAGTTTGGAGGATTCTGGGTACATTTTGTCAGGGAGTGAGGCAGGTTGTGGGCAAGGCTTTGGGGGAACTGGTGGCATGGGGTCAGGGAGTGAGGTCAGTTATAGGGGAGGCTCAGGAGGATCTGGGGAAATGGGGCCAGAGGGTGAGATGCGTTATGGAGATGGTTCAGGGAGGCTTGGAGTACCAGGCTCACTAGCTGGAATAGGACCTGAGGCTGGACCCAGAGGCCACAAAGCCATGGGGCACAGGTCAGGATATTGGGTAGCATCAGAGGATGGCACGAGCTGCAAGGATGGTCCAGAGCGAGCCAGGGAAACAGGGCTTGTGGATGGGGCAGGACCTGGGGTGGAACCTGGGATGGCTGGAATGCTGGGCACTGCAGGTGGCATGGCACAGAGAGACAGCCCCAGGGGCCCAAGGGTGCTGGGGTCTCAGGGAGGGCCACAGACTCTTTCAGATGAGAGAGGCTCCACCAAAGATCTTGGGGGCTATGGAACCTCAGGGATCCCTGAGGCCTTGGAGGCTGCTGGTGCCAAGGGAAAACCAGATGTCAAAGAATGGCAAGATAGTTCTGGGACTCCAGGGTCTTCTAGGGACAGAGGGGCTCCCAGGGCAAAGGATAGGTCTCCAGACCAAGCAGGGATTATGGGGTCTTCTGGGTTTCTTGATGGCAAGGGGGCAGTAGAAGGTGAAACCTGGGCAGGAATGGCTGCTCTGGGGTCTGGACATGAACAGGACATCTGGAAAGCAGGCCCAGGAATGACAGACAGGTGTAGAGTTGCTGGCCAGGGGAGATTGGCATCTCAGGGAGGCGGGGACTCACTTTTGGGAGGCAGAAGGATAGGCTCAGGGAGCTCAGCGGGGACAGGCCAGGATCTGGACAGCAGCTCTATGCCTGGGGAAAGGGGCAAGTCAACATCAGGGCCTGCTGATGGACTAGGAATGAGCAATGCCTGGGCTCCTGACTGGGAAAACCAGGGGTTTAGCCGAGGCAGCATAGGTGCTGGGAAGCAGCCCGCAGGCTCCAGAGCTTCCGGTTCTCTGCAGGAAAAAGATGCCGCTTTTGGTGGGATCCATGAAGGGCCAGGGGGCTTAAAGGGCAGGGAGGGTACACCAGGCCAAGAGGTGGCTGGTGGATGCCGATGCCCATGGTCCCTGGATAGCAAAGGTTCAAGTCATGGAAGGGGCAGTTCTGGTGGTGCAGAGGACTCAGGTATCCTGGGCAAGGGGAATTCTACTGAGTGGGGGAATGCTGTCATCCCAAAACCTGGGGAGTCAGGACCTCAGGGAGCCTGGAATGGCTTAGATGGTCCCTTTGGCAGAAGAGCCTCTGGAGATAGGTCAGGAGGGACCCAGGACCTGAGCTCTCAGCTAGGCAAGGGACAGAGAGGAGGAAAGAGGTCCCTCGGGGAGCAGGGGTCCCTGGAGGCTGAGGATGGTGAGGTCCAGGGTCCTGGGGCCCTAAAGGAGGATGAGGTACAGGGAGTGGAAGAGGCTGGGAGGTCAGGCAGGAGGTCTGGCTCACTTAGGAGCAGGTCTCAGGCACAGTCAGGGGCTGAGGTGGGAGGAGGAAAGAGAAGGGGAGCGGATGAGGCTGGAAGCATGGGATGGCAGTCTATGGGGGAGAACCAGGGGTGCCTGGAGGAGATGCTGAATGAAGATCAGAGCCGGGAGCCCCCCGGTCACCTTGGTAGCAGGAGAGGTGGCAAAGATGGCAGGTTGGACATCTATGGAGAGAGGAGAGATGCTACCCAGAGTTCCACATCCAGATATAAGCCTGGCACTGGCAGTTTCTCCAAGGAGGCCCGAGGTAGGTGCTTCTCTGCTGAGCTGGCTCCCATGGGTTAGAGACAGTGGGGAGCTCCCTGGCCACTGGGATGCTTGGGTCTGTCCCAGTTCTGCCCCCAGCCCCAGGATTTTGTCCCTGCCAGTACTCCCCATTCTCAGGAACCTTTTGCAAATTTAGGAAGCAACCTCTTCCTCTTTATGAAGATGGGGTCCAGCCTGTGAGAGGCTCAGTGTTCTCCTAGGAGACCTCTTTGCTCTTGAAACCTTATGTCCACAGCACCAGAGTTGTTGACCCAACTGTCTGTGGGTTACCAGACTTCTCACCTGGGTGACTTGCAGCGGCGGGAGGAAGGGGGCCTTCGTATACCTTACACCCCAGGTCTCCTGGACCAGCCTAGGTCCTGCTGAGAAAAGCAGCAATGCTTGGGCTCCTGTCTAGGAAGACCAGGGCATTGGCACCAAGGCAGCATAGATGCTGGGAACCAGCCCTGCTGACACCAGCTGTGCCCAGTTGGCAGGACCATGGTGGCCTTGCAGGGCACAGCGCAGGCCATGGCCTGGGAGGCTCAGCTCTGGCGACCCCCTCTGTGTCTCTTCCGGCCCCATAGGCTACTTCTCCCAGGGCCTGGCTGACATGAAGGTGCAGCAGGGGGAGGCTGCCACACTCTCCTGTATCCTCACCAGTGACCTGGGACCCGGCACCTGGTTTAAGGATGGCGTCAAGGTACTGCCTCCCCTCACAGCTTCTCTTTACCAGCAGTAGGGACAGAGGTAAAGCAGAGAACAAAAAGAGTAAAGGCTTTGAAAAAAAGATTTTTCATTCTTCATTTTACTAATGTATCCACCTCAGGAGAAGTTTAAATAGCCAATAACTTGGTGCGTTTAAAATAAAATTGGATTTTTAAATGATGTGTATCCTACGCCCTGCAGCACACCCCTTGTTCTTCCACCATCCAAAACGCCTCTTCTATACCCATACCTGCTGAATCCTACCCATCCTTCAAGGGCTTGTATAAATGCCATCTTCTCATCCCTACCAGAAGGGGGCCCTCATCTCCCTGCACAACCTCCCTCTCCTCCATTAAAGCTGTCACCCCAAGAGAAACATCAAAGTGACTCAGGGCATGAGGCTCAGTATCAGCTAGGTCCGGCTTCAGATCCCGGCTCTGCCACTACCAGTTATGTGACCTCAAGCAAGCTGGTGAACAGTCTGGCTTCCTCATCTATGAAGTGGGACTAATAATAGCACTTACTTCATAAGATTGTTAGACAATTAAATAAGGTGCTAAGCACAGAGAGCATTGGCACACAGTAAGCATTCCATTCACACAGCTGTTATCAGGATCCCGGCATCTGTAAAGGGCTCTGGTTAGCTGGCCTGGAGGAGCTGGGATGGGAATGGGGTGACCTTCTCCTGCTGTGGCCCTGTCTCCAGCTCACCGCCCAGGATGGAGTCATCTTTAAGCAAGATGGTCTCGTGCACAGCCTCTTCATCGCGCGCGTGCAGGGGACCCAAGCCGGGAGGTACACCTTTGTAGCTGGTGACCAGCAGAGCGAGGCCACTCTGACCGTCCAGGGTAAGGCCTAGCCCTGCCCTGCCCTGTCCCACAGTCTCTTTGTACCAGGTGATATGCCTTGCTTTAAAACACCTGAATTTGTGGCTACTCTGCAGCCAGTATCTAATCTCATCCCCAGAGAAGATGATTTAAAAAGCCAACTCATACTCTGCCTATTCCAGCATCTTAGCTCTTTCCTTGTCAGGAAGTCCTTGATGAGGTCTAAGCCTGGTCTCTCCCGCTGCAGATGAAGCCCCTTCCCTTTGTGGCAGGGCAGGGGATTCCTTAATCTTCCCCCAGACTTCCTTCTCTGGGTCCTCCTTTCTGCATTCCCTGGTGCCCAGTGCTCTGGTCTTTGACTCTCTTGTTTTATTTCCAGATTCCCCTACCATTGCTCCAGATGTGACGGAGAAACTGAGAGAGCCACTGGTGGTCAAGGCTGGGAAGCCGGTGACAGTGAAGATCCCCTTCCAGAGCCACCTCCCCGTTCAGGCTGCCTGGAGAAAGGACGGGGCCAAGGTGGTGGGCAGTGGTGACAAGGAGGCCCAGGTGGACCTGGGGGATGGCTACACGCGGCTGTGCCTCCCCAGCACAGGCAGGAAGGACAGTGGCCAGTACAGTGTGACGCTGAGGAGTGAGGGAGGCTCTGTGCAGGCTGAGCTCACCCTGAAAGTCATAGGTACCAACCCCATCTTCTCCCAACCAAGGCCTGAGAGTTCCCAGGGTTCTGGGCCCTCCCTGCCATCAAGGGCAGGCCTGGGGTGTGATCTCTGTGGCTCTGATCCTCATTTGCATGCTGTTTAAGATCCAGACCTACCCCTAATTCTGCTCAGACTGCTTAGGAAGAAGCAGTTGAGATCAACACAGTGCCGGGCTCCTGCTGGGCGGGGGGGAGCCGATTATGCTTCTCTGATCCCAATGCACTGGGCCCTCAGGAAGCTGCTGGGTAGGATGGCGGTCCCCAGCGCTGAGTAGTGCCAGCAAGGTAGGACTGCTGTGGGCCGAGCAGGTGCCCATACCAGCCCCTGGACGGTGGAGCTGGGAGGGGCTGGTGCATTCCATGGCATATCCCTGGGTGCACATATGTGTTGGGGGTGGGGACGTCTCAAGAGTGTGTGACCCTCTGGGTAATGCCCAAGGCTCTCTGGACAGTCTGCCCCATTGCAGGCTTATCCACTGATGAGTGGCGAAGGGGGGCGGGGAGCGGCGCCGTTCCCATCTAGCTCCTCTGACCTCTCCTCTTCCTGCTCTTCTCTGTGGGTCCCCAGATAAGCCTGATCCCCCACAAGGCCCCATGGAGGTTCAGGATTGCCAGAGGGCTGGTGTCTGCCTCCGCTGGCGGCCCCCAAGGGATGATGGGGGCCAGCCTGTAGAGTGCTACATGGTGGAGAGACGGCAGGCTGGCAGGAGCACTTGGCTGAAGGTGGGCGAGGCCCCCGCTGACAGCACCACCTTCACGGATGCCCATGTGGAGCCAGGCAGGAAGTATGCCTTCCGAGTGCGGGCTGTGACCTCGGAGGGGGCTGGCGAGGCCCTGGAGTCTGAGGAGACATTGGTGGCTCCTGAGGGTGAGAGAAAAGGCTGGGGCTGGGGGTGGAGGACACTCCTGGGCTCCCCGCTGTGCCAAGGAGGGCAGGCTGTCCCAGAGGCTGAATGACACCAGCCTGTGCTCAGGGCTTCGGAGGCCCTTCTATAGCACTCTGGAGACTCCTTCCCTCAGCTGCATTTGGGATCTGGCACCCAGATGAGGAAGTGTTTTACAGAGTCTCCGGGAGTGAGGGTATGGGCCAGCAAAGCCTACTGTCTCATGCCCCAGGGAGAGAGGGGCATCCACCTCCAACATCCTATCAGGGGACCCGAGGCAGAGGGGCCTCAGGGCTGGCTCTAGGCTCCGAGGCCACGGTGCCACAGTGCCTTCTCTGTCTTTTCATTCCTTCCCTTGAATAGCTGGAACACTGACCTAGGGTGGGCTGGCTCAGCCCCGACACTCGCCAGGACTGGGAGGAGTGTGGCCTGCCCCAGATGCCCGTGCCTCCTACCCCCAGGGGCTCCCCGTGAGCCGGCACCTTTCAAGGCCTCTGGCTGACTGGAATCTTCCTTGCCCCCAGCTCTCCCCAAGGCCCCTTCCGCGCCAGCCATCCTGTCAGCCTCCAGCCAGGGCATCACGCTGACATGGACGGCACCTAGGGGCCCTGGCAGCGCCCACATCCTGGGCTACCTGATCGAGAGGCGTAAGAAGGGGAGCAACACCTGGACAGCAGTGAACGACCAGCCGGTGCCTGGTGAGCATTGTCCTGGCTTCCAGAGCTTCCTTAGACCGCTCCTGGCTCCAGGATGCCAGGAACTTGTCAGTCCAGATTGGTTTAATACAGTGGTTCTTATCTAGGGTGGTTTGGCAGTATCTGGAGATATTTTTCATGGTCACAACTGGGTGGAGGGTAGATGTTACTGGCATCTAGTGTAAAGAGGTCAAGTATGCTGTTAAACATCCTACAGTACACAGGACAGAATGCATCCCCTCCTGTCAAAAAACCCAAGAAGTATCTGGCAAAAAAAAAAAATGTCAATCATGCTGAGGTCAAGAAGCCCTGATTCAGAAATCCCAGCTGGGAGCCAGAGATGGAGCTGTTAGCCCTGGCCCCTCTACTTTTTGCCTTGACCTTGGACAGTTCACTTCCTCTCTAGATCTGAATTTCCACATCCATGAAGTGGAGAGGAGGGTCCCCTGCCCCACTAAGTAGTTTCCTAAGAAACAAACTGCATTCTGAGATCAGAAAGAACTTGGAAAAGCCAAAGGGCTGGGCAGATGCGAGGGGTCTTCTGGTAGCCCTTAGCATTTCTTTGCTCTGCGTGCATGCTGCAGAAGTCCAGGTTTGAGGAGGGAAGAACGGGTTCAGAACAGCTTGCCAGGAGACCTGGGTTCAGGTCATGGCTCTGCTACTTAGAAGCTGAGGCCTGTCAGGGCTTCAGTTTCCTTATCTCTGGAAAGAGAGATGAACAAAGGGCAGCCTTACAATTTCACTATTTAGTTATCCTGCTTTATTTAAATATGACAGCAACTCTGTAAGGCAGAGACAACCAGGGAGATTAAGGTACTTGCCCAAGAACATCCAGCAAGTTAGTGGTGGAACCAGACAGGGACCCGAGGCCCCTGATGCCCTGAGCAGTGCTCTTTCCACTTTGGAGGGAACTGAGTCACAGCAGGTGGAGGGCTGTAGGGAGGAATGTGTTAGGACCCCAGGCTTGGTCTCCTTCAGAACTTGGAGGCACCCAAGCTATCTCCCCATGGCCAGCCCCATCCGGGTGGGACTCACATGAGCGGACTCTTCACAGAGAGGAGGTGGACGGTGGCGGACCTGCGGCAGGGCTGTCAGTACGAGTTCCGGGTCACAGCTGTGGCTCCCTCAGGCCCTGGAGAGCCTGGACCCCCATCAGATGCCGTCTTTGCTCGGGACCCCATGAGTAAGTAGGGAACCAACCCAGGATGGGGGTGGGGGTGAGGACGGGATAGCCCTGAAGCCGGGTAGGACTTGATGGGAGATCACAGGTCACAGGTCGGGGCAGTCCTGAAGGACATGGTCAGGAGGGCTGAGATATAAAAATCAAAAGGCCTCTCGGGTGAGCCACATCTTAGGGCCCCTATATTGAGATCAAATAGGCCCAGAAGCCAGGCAGTGGGATTAGAAGATTCCTTCCCTGTTAAGCGTAATGGTTCATACTTGTAATCCTAGCACTTTGGGAGGCAGAGGCAGGAGGATTGCTTGACCCCGGGAGTTGGAGGCTGTAGTGAACTATGATTGCACCACTGCACTCCAGCCTGCATGACAGAGGGAGACCCTGTCTCAACAAAATAGTAATAAAACAAAATAAAAAGGGGGAGTTCTTTTCAGGATCACTTCACTCACTCTTTGGCCTCTAGGCAGGCCAGCCCCCAGTCTGGCCCACCTGCTCTAGTCCCATAAGCATCCACTCACCCCTGTGTGCCCATCAGGCAGGGCGGAGAGCAGGTGACAGGGGAAGCTCAGCGTCAATTCTCTATCCAATGAATATTTGCCCATCACCTACTAAATGGCCAGCATTGTGCGAGGAAGTAGGTGAATCGATCCTGGTCTCTGCCCTTGAGAAACTTACAGTCTGAGATAGCATTTCCTATCTGAGACCTGTGGTCTTGAGAACATGGAGTGTATCGAGAGATGCCAGCAGACATTCTGAGAACAACAGGAACAGCAAAAAATGTCTGTGATCAAAGATGTGTATGATGTGAGCCTATGATGTTTCCAAGTCCTGCAGGGGAAAAAAACCTGTCTAACCTTGATCCAAATCTAGCTTTTTCACAAAATACCTATTAAAAGTGTCACTCCAAGGCATACAGCTTAGAAAATGCTGCTCTGTATTTCTCATCCCCTAATGAGCTTGCCTACACCAGGTCCTCTGGGGAGCAGCACATTTCTGGCACTTGCTGGATGGGCCAGGTGGTCAACACCTGGAGAGCATCTCTGTGCCCCACAGAGCCTAGCCCATTGCAGGTGTTCAGGCTGTTTGAATGAACCCAACAAGACCGGAACATTCTGTAAGTTTCATTGTTCAAGTCATATCTGAGTTTTAGTCCTAGGAAGGGCAGGGTGTGGAATGGAGGGATCAGGGAGGAAAGCTGGCCCATGCAACTTACTCCTTGCAAATGGACCAAGGCTGTCCTATCTTTTCTCTTTCTTTTCTTTTTCTTCTCTGTTCTTTTCTTTTCTTTTCTTTCTCTCTCTCTCTTCTTTCTTTCTCTCTTTCTTTCTTTGTCTCCTTCACACTCTCTCTTTCTCTCTCTTTCTCTCTCTTTCTCTCTTTCTCTCTTTCTTTCTTTCTTTCTTTCTTTCTTTCTTTCTTTCTTTCTTTCTTTCTTTCTTTCTTTTTTTCTTTCTTTCTTTCTTTCTCTCTGACAGGATCTCACTCTTTTACTTAGGCTAGAGTGCAGTGATGCAATCTTGGCTCATTGTAGCCTTGAACTCCTGGCCTCAAGCAATCCTCCTGCCTCAGCCTCCTAAGCAGCTGGAACTATGAGCATGTGCCACCACACCTGTTAATTTATGTTTTTGTAGAGACAGGGTCTCGCTGGTCTTGAACTCCTGGTCTCAAGCTATCCTCCTGCCTTGGCCTCCTAAAGTGCTATGATTACAGGCATGAGCCATGGACCCACAGCCTATTAATCTCTCCTATCAGTGGTGGGAAGTAGAGACAATGGATAGAATAAGCAGTGTCTAATAGCAGCCACGGCAATCACCACATTTTCTGGATTCTTGCTGCTAAGCAAGGCCTATGGCCCAGCAACATCATCTTATTAGAATTTATGAGAAATGCTGAATCTCAGGCCTCACCCCAGACCTACTGAATAAGGGTCTGTATTTTTACCAAAATCCCCAGGTAACTTCTATACTAATTAAAGTTTGAGAAGTACTGCCCTAGCCTAGTGGTTTTCAAACTTCATTGCATATTTAGAAACACGTGGAAAACTCTTAAAAATGTTGATGCCTAGACTGCACCCCAGACTAATTAAATCAGAATCTCTGAGGTGGCATCTAGGTGCCAGTATTTTTAAGCTCACCAGGTGATTCCACGCTCATTGTGCTTTTTGCTTGTACTAAAACCTCTGTGGGTAGGTGGGGCTATTATTATTGTTCTCATGTAACAAGTGGAGAACAAGAAGCCTGCACTGAGTGCCCAAAAGGCAGAGTCTTGACTCTAATAAGAGTTTAGAGTCCAGAATAAAAACATGTAGAAGTCCAGTCTTACGGGATAATGGAACCCAAGAGGTCATCAACTAAAATCTCGGTTTTCTGGAATTACAGAAGGATAGTTAGGAGAAGGCATTTGGCAGGTTGGTGAATGAATGAGGGAAATGAGTTGGGGGAGGCTTCCTGGGAGAGGTGGCCTGGGATCTGTGTGCATAACGGAGACAAAGTGCTGGTTACAGTAAGAATTTGGAACAAGGTAGGTGTTTCAGGAAGAATCTAAAGGCAGAATTGCTAAGTGGAAAAACTTCCCAGTCTCCCACAAGGAAGGCTAATCAAAATCCACACTGAGTGGCCTCCCTCAGGAGATGCCATTCCTGACGCTCCCATGCTGCCTGGCAGGACCCCCTGGGCCGGTGAGGAATCTCCAAGTCACAGACACATCGAACACCAGCATCACTCTGAGCTGGGCTGGGCCAGACACCAAGGACGGGGACGAAGCCCAGGGGTATGTGGTGGAGCTGTGTGGCTCAGACAGTCTCCAGTGGCTCCCGTGCCATGCGGGCACCGTGCCAGTCACCACCTACACGGCCAAGGGCCTTCGGCCTGGAGAGGGCTACTTTGTGCGGGTGACAGCAGTTAATGAAGGAGGTCAGAGCCAGCCCACTGCCCTGGACACATTAGTGCAAGCCATGCCTGCTACTGGTGAGTGCTGCCTCCTTCCCCGACCTCTGAGCCCTGCAAGCCCCTCCTGAGAGGGGGCCCCTGAGTAGCCGCCATACACTTGCTAAGCCAGGATCTCCACCCTCAGTTTCAGGAAGTAACATTTATTGAGCACCTACTAGGTGCTAGGCACTGGGCTAGGCAGTCCCTTCTTAGAAATGTTTTCTCATTACGACTCATAACTATACTACAACATTAATGTTTCTATTCTGAAGTTACAGAGAAGGAAACCGAGGTTCAAGGTACTTTGCCCACATTGTCACCAATGGTATGTGGTAGAGCCAGGATTTAAACCTGGAGACTCCAAAGTTGATGTTATCTAGGAGAGAGAGTGGCTGCTTCCTGCACATGGCCTTAGAAGGCCTAAGTGCAGCTCAGCTCCTGTGGTTCACATTCAGAATGGGACATGCCCAGGTCCCCATTATTATTGAAAAGAGGATTGTCTTTCCCTTTGGGCTTTAACCACTACAAGCACCTGACCTGCCTTTGACCCAAGCTGACACTGGGCCACCCCAGCTGACCCTAGTCATCACTGTGACAGTAGGGAGACACAAACACAGCACATGGAGTCCAGAGTCCCAGAATCTTGTCCTGGCTTTCTCCCGAACAAAGTGTGACCTCAGGCAAGTCACTTCCTGTCTTAGATTGGTGTCTATCTCATCTGCAAAACATAAGTGCTCTGCCACATATCAGCATCTTCCTCTGTTCCAGCCTAGTCCACCCCTCTCCCTGCGGGGTCCCTTTCTCAGCTCCTGTCCCTCCCCTGCTAGCATCTCCCCACCAGCTCCTGGGGTGCCCCCTGAAGATTCTGCTCCCAGCTGCACTCCAGTCCTTTAGAGGCCCCAACGTGTTGGGATCTCAGCATCCCAACTGGCTCATTCTTCCCCCCCAGCCCTGCCTTGCTGGGGACCTGGGGCTGGGGTCCAACTGGGAGGCAGAAGGGAGGTAACCAGTCCTCTTGTGTGTTTCAGTCTGTCCTAAGTTCCTTGTGGACTCCAGCACCAAGGACTTGCTGACGGTCAAGATCGGGGACACTGTTCGTGTGCCGATCTCCTTTGAAGTGAGTGTACCTACAGGGGTGTGGGGAGGGAAGCCCAGAGAGGCCAAGGGGGCCAGACTCAGCCCTGTGGTTCTCTTTTCTTCCCTATTCCATTTTGGCCCCTAGTCAGTGTCCTGGGCTTGTGGAAATCAGGCGAGAGACATGAGGAAGGAAGGATTCAGGTCCTCCTTGAAGGTACCGCCCTCACTTGGCCACTGGGTGGCCATTCTGCTCCAGGCCTGCAAATCCCTCTAGTGGTAGCTTCTGCTACTGCACCTCCAAATTAAGGCTCTTCCGGTTCTCCACCTCTCCTAGTTTGGGAATTCAGAAAGCCGGCCGTGCCGATGGTCCCCTTTGGCTTTGCAATGTATTTTTGTGCAATCACATGACCTACATTTGACTCAGGGTGATCCTTAACCAACACTAACACCACCTGACTTTATAACAGTAGGGTGGTGGCTAAAAGTACAAACTGCCTGGGTTCAAATTTTGACGTCATCACTCACAGCCGTTTGACTTTGGACAAATATTATTTATTTATTTATTTATTTATTTATTTATTTATTTATTTAGAGATGGAGCCTCACTCTGTCTCCCAGTCTGGAGTGCAGTGGCGAGATCTCGGCTTACTGCAACCTCCATCTCCTGGGTTCAAGCGATTCTCCTGCTTCAGCCTCCGGAGTAGCTGGGATTACATGCGCCCGCCGTCACACCTGGCTAATTTTTGTATTTTTAGTAGAGCTGGGGTTTCGCCATGTTGGCCAGGCTGGTCTTGAACTCCTGACCTCAGGTGATCCACTTGCCTCGGCCTCGCAAAGTGCTGGGATTACAAGTGTGAGCCACTGTGCCCAGCCAGGACAAATATCTTAACATCTCTGTGTTTCACCTTCCTCATCTGTCAAAAGGGGATAATAATAGTAACCTATCTCAAAAGTCTGAGGGTTCAAGGAATTAATATATTGAAAGTGTATATGTAGGGCCTGGCATATGGCAGCACCCAATATGTTTTAATATTATTATTGTTTAAAATCATCATCATCTGTGTAGGAAGCTCATAGCACACAGAGCCAGATTCAAACCAGTCTATCTTACTCTAAATGACTTGTTCTTAACCACAATAATGATAATAATGATAGTGATAATGATGACAAAAATATTTAATGCACATTGAGTAATTATCATGTACTAGGTCTTGTTCTCTCTGCTTTCCATGTATTTATTATTAACACTTTAAATTCTCAGAACAATCCTGTAAGTTCAGTTAGTTACTATCAGTGTCTTCATTTGACTCTGGTACCCACCGTGCCCTGTACTGAGGGCCCCATAGGGAACTGGCGGCACAGTCACCAAGCAGCTGGACTGGCCTTCCCACCCTGCTCAGGGTCACCACAGTTCAAGGCCAGGACACCGAAATCTTCCTCCTAGACTTTTGCCAAATTATCTCCTATGTGGGTGCCAGGGTAGTTAACACTCCCCTCCCCACACATCCCTTCTCATTCCCATCCCACCCCCTGCAATGTGGATCCAGAACTCATTATGCTTTCCTGCTCAGAATCTGACAGCCGTGGCTCCTGGCTTACAGGATAACATCCAGATGTCTGTGCAGGTGTGACGTGGAGGGCACTTTGCATTTTTGCCAAATCTCCTCGTCCAACTTCCTTTCCTGTTCCACTGCCCCCCTACCATCCCCATCTGCCAACCTCACACTTTATCACCACCCCTCTTTCCCACCTGTGTTTTCTTGTCTACCTTCTGCGTTTTCTTGCCAACTTTCTCCTTGTACAAGGCTCTTCTCACCACTTCTACCTTCAGCCTAGCTTAAATGCCATCACCTCCATGAAACTGCCAGCTGCCCTTCTCAACTTTTCCTTCCTCTCCTTTCTCAGGCCGTGCCCATGCCTGAGGTGACCTGGCTGAAGGACGGCTTGCCCTTGCCCAAAAGAAGTGTGACCGTCACAAAGGATGGCCTCACCCAGCTTCTGATCCCTGTGGCTGGCCTCTCAGACAGTGGTCTCTACACTGTAGTGCTGAGGACCCTGCAGGGGAAGGAGGTTGCCCACAGCTTCCGTATCAGGGTGGCAGGTGAGGCAGGTCTGGCTCTGGGCTCTGGACGCTGGCTTGGCCACTCACCAAGGCAAGGAGATGTCCACGGGTCTGGGCATAGGTCTCAGCCACTCTTCCAGGGCTAGGTATGCAAGGTGACCATGCTCCACCTTTCCTCTGTGCTTGATGATACAAAGTAGAAAGGACCCCGGAAGCTTCCCAGGGACTTCCATTGTCCTTCTGCCTCAGGAGCCTAGAGACAGTCATGTCATGGCTCCTCTCCAACCTCAGTTATCCTTCCCTTTGAGTCAGTGAGCAGAGGCAGTCACCACTGTTACATCACTCCAAAGACCCAGGGGACAAAATTGTTTGCAGCCGTTGCACAGAATAAAGGCTTTCCTCCCCAGCTGTGGCTCCACACAGCCCCTGCCCTGGAGGAGCTTCTGGATATCCAGAAATGATCAAATAGACTAACAGTGGGGGCTCTGTAATGCGGCCTCATGAGAGCCCTGCCTCTGTCCAAAAATGCATGTCTTGTCCTGTGTCATTTTACTTAAAAACTGAAGTGAATTATAATTACTCTTTTGGGGAGATTTTCTACCCTCTAGAGATAACTGTGGACATCTGGCCAAACTCACTCTGGCCCCAGCTACCTATGTGGCAAGACTGCATTCCCCAGGACCCTTAGAAGACTTGGGACCTGGAGGGGGCTGGCAGCAGCCCTGCTGGGTCCCCTCCACGTGACTTCCCTCTGCCGTCTCTCTTGAAGTATGTCCGCAGGCACCTGGGCCCATCCACCTGCAGGAGAATGTGCCTGGGACGGTGACGGCTGAGTGGGAGCCCTCTCCGGACGAGGCCCGGGGTGTCCCGCTACACTATACAGTGTTCACACGCTCCTCGGCACATGGTCCCTGGCGCGAGGCAGCCGACCGCATCCACACCAACCGCTTCACTCTCCTGGGCGTCCTCCCTGGTCACGAGTACCACTTCAGGGTGGTGGCCAAGAATGAGCTGGGGGCCAGCAAACCCTCGTACACCAGCCAGCCCTGGTGCATCCCCCGGCAGCGCGGTAAGCAGCCCCTGAGAGGGAGGAGGAGGCAGGGTGGGGGTTGCACTCTGCAGTGCAGCGGGATGCTCCCAAGCATGGCAGGTGCACAGGATAGGGACTGTGGCAGAGATGGCCTGGAGCATGCCAAATAACAGCCAGCATCCCTGAGCTGCTGCTCCTCCCTCTCCTGCCTCACACCTACCTGTACTGACATCCTCTGCACCCCTGACCTCCGTGGGGAGAATGAGATTGGTGTGGGTGTTTGGGTGTCTGAGGTGGCTTTGGGAGGATTTTCAAAAGCAGTCACAGACAATAAGGCAAATAGAGGTTAACATTTCTCTGAAAACAAAGTGTATTTTACAGCAAGGTAGATGTGGACCTTAAGATCAGTCACTAGAAGAGCAGGCTATAAAATCAAATGAAGGTTTCTTTTTCATAAAATACAAAAATATCAGGAAAGCTCTACACCAAAATGTCAGCTATGGTCATCTACAGGTAGTGACATTATGACTGGTTTTTATTCTTTCTCCTTTGATTCTCGGTGTATTCTCATTGTCCACAGTGAATGTGTGTTAGCTACCAAAAAATCCATAAAGTAAAAAAAAAAAAAATCCATAAAGAATTTTGGGAAAAGGATAGAATGAGGCAAGCCTTGGGGTCCAAATTTGCAGGCAAGATGTGGCAGGAAATCCCAGGTAAGGCCTACATGGTAGTGTCTTGAGCTCTCTACCCAGACTCGAGTCTCAGCCAGGCTTTCCTCACTTTCTCACCCTCCTCCCTCTCACCCCGGCTTTCACCACAGACAGGTTCACAGTGAAGGCTCAGAGCTACCGGGAGCCCGACCTGAGCCAGAAGCCCCGGTTCCTGGTGGGCCTGCGGTCCCATCTCCTGCCCCAAGGCTGCGAGTGCTGCATGAGCTGCGCCGTGCAGGGCTCGCCCCGGCCCCACGTCACCTGGTTCAAGAACGACCGCAGCCTGGAAGGAAACCCCGCAGTGTACAGCACTGACCTGATGGGCGTGTGCTCCCTCACCATCCCCAGCGTATCCCTGAAGGACAGCGGCGAGTACAAGGCTGTGGCCGAGAACACGCTGGGCCAGGCAGTCAGTACTGCCACCCTCATTGTCATAGGTAATGGTGGCTGCCCTGGCAGTGGGACAGGAAGGAGAGCCAGGAGAGCAGTCACCTGCCTGCCTTCAGGGAGCCTCCAAGGGGTGCCTAGAGGGATTCAGCGGGGAGTCAGGAGACCAGGACTCTCTGCCTGACTCTATGAACTTTCAGCTATTTAACCTACCAACACAAGCCCACATGTGGTCTCGATTTGCCCACTTTTTAAAAAAAAATTATTGTTATTGTTATTCTTATCGTTATTATTATTATCGAGATGGAGTTTTGTTCTTGTTGCCCAGGTTGGAGTGCAATGGCGTGATCTCGGCTCACTGCAGCCTCCACTTTCTGGGTTCAAAATATTCTCCTGCCTCAGCCTCCCGAGTAACTGGGATTACAGGCATCCGCCACCACACCCGGCTAATTTTTTTGTATTTTTAATGGAAGCAGGTTTTCGCCATGTTGGCCAGGCTGGTCTCAAACTCCTGACTTCAGGTGATCCACCTGTCTCAGCCTCCCAAAGAGCTAGGATTACAGGCGTGAGCCACTGTGCCTGGCCGATTTGTCCACTTTTAAACTGAGGTATTTGAACTTGGTGAGCAACTCTTGATTGAAAGGCTGCGTACTGCCCACCTGCGCTTCCCAGTGGGGCCACACGACACATTGCAGGCTGAGAAATGAACAGGTGTCCGTATTGTTCTTTCTTAAATATGTCGAGATATGGACATTTAGTGCCTAGAGAGCCATGCTGATTCTCTCATTGGTAGTCTCCTTTTCAGTACTGCAGATAATATATGTTAATAAAGTTTTTCCTTCAATAGTACTTAAAACACCTTATATTTTGAATAGTAATAAAAGGCAAGCCTCAGGTGACCTTTGTGGAAAAACGACCCCTCTGCACTGGAGCAGAGTATCTCTCCTCTCCGCAGCGCCCATGCTTAGGCATTAGGAAGCCACTCTCGAAGCACCGCAGCTCGCGTACACATGCAGTCCCGGAACAAAGCTGGCATTGGGTGTGGCTATGGTTCCCCGAGGGGCCAGCAAAGGGCTTTGCCCAAGCTCAGAGAGCACATGGTGGCTCCGGATTTGAATCCACACCCCCTGACAGCAGAGTCTGTAGCCTAAGCACCATGCTGAGTTTTCTTCACCACTGAACAGGTGCGGGGCAGGGTGGCTGCCCCTCTGGACCAACTGGAATATCCTGTGTCTTGCAGAACCCAGCGCCTAGCCTCACCTCACCCTGGGATGGTCCTGGACCCTTGAAGCTTCACTTCTGACACCTGCACTGGCCTGGGAGGCCAATCCCAAGGATGGAGGCTGTGCCCAGAGCCCCAGGAAGACAGGAGTGAGAAGACTCCTGGTGAGGTTTTGGCCAGGAGGACATGAAGTCCTTGGGGAAGAAAAACAAGGGAGGAGGCCATTCTGCCTCCTGGCTCCAAGCTAAGTCACTCAACGGAATGACAGTGAACCTCCTGGACCCTCATCATATGGGTTTCTTTCTTCTTCGCTTCAGGAGATCCAGAGGGCACCTGCCTGCAGGATGGGCCAGCTCCTTATTTTCCTGGGCTGAGCCCCTCGGAGGGAGGGTGGGCACAGCTGGGCCTGCTGTGACCACAGGGAGGGAAGAGGAGAGGAGGTCAGAGGACCTGGGTGAGGACTAGGGCATCAAGGGTGTGTGTGTGGTGGGGGCAGGGGTGCGGCATGTGCTTTCTATACATTTCTTCATTAAAACATTAGGCTAATACGGGCAGATCGTTTGCAAATTTACTTGGGGTGAGTGTGTTGGAGGAAAGATTTCCAAAGCAGAGCCTTTATTCCAGGCTTCAGTTGGGAGGATGGGTGGGTTCTGGATGGAGGGGAGAATGGGCTCAGAATTGGACTCTTCTCCTGCAGCCCAGGCCTGCATAGTTGATTGCAAGGGTGAGAAAGCCAAGAAAGGTTAGAGGGTGATGGAGATGCTTCTCTTCCTCCCGGCCCGTGTTTCCTGCACTCCTCTGACTGGCAGGAATCCTGTGAGCAGCAGGGCTGGAGGCCTCCCCAGGTGTTATATGTGTGGAGACCATAGGGCGGGCTGGGGTTACCTAGGGCTGTCCTATGTCTGTCACTCCCTCGGACTAGAAAGAGTCTGAGTTGGGGAGAATCCTACCCCAGGATCTGAGCCCCTGTTAGAAGGGGAAGAAAGAGGCCATCAAGTGCATGACGGTGTGACTCACTCAAGGCTGCATGGGCCTCCTCACCTTCTTCACAGCCCCCACTGCCCCATGTCACAGGAGGGATGGGATGACTCCCTTTCCCAGGTGGGTCACCCCACCACTGCCCCCAGAAGCCTTGCACTCCATTATCCTGAAGACATGGCCCCCAAACTCTCAGGCTCCCCAGAAATATTCAAGAGTTTCCAGGAGCCAAAAGAAAGGAAGGAGCCCCGGGGAAGGCTGAGCCCCACTCTCTCCCAGGACATCAGCTCTGAGGTCACTAGTAGGTGACCCGATGAGCTAGAACACTGTCTGCCCTTCATTCCCTCTGCTCAGATCCTGGCTTCTGCTTCCCTCAGTCTCCCTTTGCCACCAATTGCAGGTCAGATGCATGAAGGAAGGAGGGTGAATCATGGGAGGAGGGGTTAATGCCAAAAATCCGTTTCTGAAGAGTGAGAATATGTGACCAAGGGAAGGTTCTCTGAACCGGAGAGAGAACTGTTCACCCAAAACAGACCAAGAGTGTCCCCCAGAGGCAGGGGCACAGACCAGACGACCTTTTACAGCTCATTCCTTCCCCCACCAAAGAAACATGCATAAGCTGTTTTCCTTGGAATTTTTCTTGTTATCTCTACCTTGCTATCACAGCAGGCCAACAGCATGGCCATGGGAAAAGAAGGAGGTGATTAGAAACTGAGAGGCAGTGGCTGGACACCTCAGCCTGTGTGGGGCTATTCTCATGAGTGCTTTCCATGCTGAGCAGTCCTGGAGTTGAAGGATGGTAGGGCCTCAGGCCAATAGTCTGTGGTTTCAGAAATGCAGAGAAGTCGTTTGCACAGAGAGGGTGACCCAGTGCCTGTGGCATGCCTAGCTCTGAGGAGACACTCATAATAAGGATGAGAAGAGAGACCTTTCTGCACCTCTAAGGGTGGGGTACAAGGAACTGACCTTTCAAAGCAATATAGGGACAAAAGACTATAACCCACGATGGCTTCATGAGACACTTTCATTTGTTCGATGAGCCTGGATCAGGCACTGTGGAGGCAGAGATGAAGGTGACTCAGATATGAGTCCTATTGCCAAGGGACCCATGGCAGGGAGGCAAGACTTGTATACCAAGAAGCATTATTCAAGGTAGCCTGTGATGCGTACTCTAAGAAAGGCACCAATAAAGTCCAGAGGAGTTCAGAGGAGAAGAGATGCTGCAGGCTGAGAACCTCAAGGAGGGCTACCTAAAATGGTAACACACTTGAGGCAAAAGTAGCAACTGGACAGGCAGGAATGGGCAAGGGTGTATCGGGGTGGAGAACACCATGAGCAAAGGCAAGGAGGTGTGAAGCAAAAATTGGGTTAAAGGACTGCGAAGTGGTTCAGTTTGGACAACTTAGGGTGACCTATGTAGCAATCACAGCCCTTTGGTCTAATGCCAAAGAGAAACATTCCTGGACCAAATTTACAGGTGTATGTGTGCTCTGGGCACCATCCATGATGGAGGCAGAGTTCCTACTCTCACAGGACTGGGACAGTGGAAAGCAGTGGTCTTTTTGGCAGTGGACAGTAGAATGCCAATATCCTGGGGCAGGCCAGGTTAGGTGTCCCTGGGAGGGGCTAGCATACTTCTGTAACTGGAGTGGGATATGAAGGCAAAAGGAACAGTCATGGCATTTTCATTCATTTCCACACAAAGCCAAAAAAAGTCCTTGCCAGTCAAGTATAGAATCTGAGTGTATCTCAAAATATTAAGAGCTATTTATGACAAACTCACAGCCAATATCATACCGAATGGGCAAAAACTGGAAGCATTCCCTTTGAAAACCGGCACAAGACAAGGATGCCCTCTCTCACTACTCCTATTCAACATAGTGTTGGAAGTTCTGGCCAGGGCAATCAGGCAAGAGAAATAAATAAAGGGTATTCAATTAGGCAAAGAGGAAGTCAAATTGTCCCACTTTGCAGATGACATGATTGTATATTTAGAAAACCCCATTGTCTCAGTCCAAAATCTCCTTAAGCTGATAAGCAACTTCATCAAAGTCTCAGGACACAAAATCAATGTGCAAAAATCACAAGCATTCCTACACACCAATAATAGACAGAGAGCCAAATCATGAGAGAATTCCCATTCACAATCACTTCAAAGAGAATAAAATACCTAGGAATCCAACTTACAAGGGATGTGAAGGACCTCTTCAAGGAGAACTACAAACCACTGCTCAATGAAATAAAAGATGACACAAACTGCTCACGGATGTCAAAAGACGACACTGCTCATGGATACGAAGAATCAATATCGTGAAAATGACCGTACTGCCCAAGGTAATTTATAAATTCAATGCCATCCCCATCAAGCTACCAATGACTTTCTTTACAGAATTGGAAAAAAATACTTTAAAGTTCATATGGAACCAAAAAAGAGCCCGAATATCCAAGACAATACTAAGCAAAAAGAACAGAGCTGGGACTTCAAACTATACTACAAGGCTACAGTAACCAAAACAGCATGGTACTGGTACCAAAACAGACATACAGACCAATGGAACAGAACAGAGGCCTCAGAAATAGCACTACACATCTACAACCATCTGATCTTTGACAAACCTGACAAAGACAAGAAATGGGGGAAGGATTCCCTATTTAATAAATGGTGCTGGGAAAACTGGCTAGCCATGTGTAGAAAGTTGAAACTGGATCTCTTCCTTATACTTTATACAAAAATTAATTCAAGATGGATTAAAGACTTAAATGTTAGATCTAAAACCAAAAACCCTAGAAGAAAACCTAGGCAATACCATTCAGGACATAGGCATGGGCAAAGATTTCATGACTAAAACACCAAAAGCAATGGCAACAAAAGCCAAAGTAGACAAATGGGATCTAATTAAACTAAAAAGCTTCTGCACAGCAAAAGAAACTACCATCAGAGTGAAGGGGCAACCTATAGAATGGGAGGAAATTTTTGCAATCTACCCATCTGACAAAGGGCTAATATCCAGAATCTATAAAGAACTTAAACAAATTTACAAGAAAAAACAAGCAAGCCCATCAAAAAGTGGGCAAAGGATATGAACAGACACTTCTCAAAAGAAGACATTCATGCAGCCAACAGACACGTGAAAAAATACTCATCATCACTGGTCATCAGAGAAATGCAAATCGAAATCACAATGAGATACCATTTCACACCAGTTAGAGTGGCAATAATTAAAAAGTCAGGAAACAATAGATGCTGGAGAGGATGTGGATAAATTGGAATGCTTTTACACTGTTGGTGGGAGTGTAAATTAGTTTAACCATTGTGGAAGACAGTGTGGCGATTCCTCGAGGATCTAGAACTAGAAATACCATTTGACCCAGCGATCCCATTACTGGGTATATACCCAAAGGATTATAAGTCATGCTACTATAAAGACACATACACACGTATGTTTATTGCAGCACTGTTCACAATAGCAAAGACTTGGAACCAACACAAATTTCCATCAGTAATAGACTGGATTAAGAAAATGTGGCACATACACACTATGGAATACTATGCAGCCATAAAAAAGGATGAGTTCATGTCCTTTGCCGGGACATGGATGAAACTGGAAACCATCATCCTCAGCAAACTATCACAAGGACACAGAAAACCAAACACTGCATGTTCTCACTCACAGGTAGGAATTGAACAATGAGAACACTTGGACACAGGGTGGGGAACATCACACACTGGGGTCTGTTGGGGAGTGGGGGACCGGGGGAGGGATAGCATTAGGAGAAATACCTAATGTAAATGATGAGTTGATGGGTGCAGCAAACCAACATGGCACATGTATACCTATGTAACAAACCTGCACGTTGTGCACATGTACCCTAGAACTTAAAGTATAATTAAAAATAAAAAAAGAATCTGAGCATATGTTTAAGGGTTTAAAGACTAGTTCTGCTGCTAACTAGTTGCGCAAGATCTTTAACCTATTTATGTCTTGTTCCTCATTTGTAAATTAAGAATAACAGTTGCCTAATCCAAGGTCACAAAGATTTTTCTCCTGTTTTCTTCTAGAAGTGTTATGGTTTTACTTCTTGCATTTCATTCTATTCATTTTAAGTTAATTTTTGTATGTGGTGTGAGGTATTAAGAGTCAAGCTGTGTTTTTTTCTTAGAGTTTCTTTTTCTCCATTGAATTACCTTGGAATGCTTGTTGAAAGTCAATTAACCATATATGTGTGGGTCGACTTTTAGACTACTACTTATTCCTCTTCTATTTTCTGGAAAAGTTTGTATAGAGTTGATGTTACATCTTCGTTAAATGTTTGGTAGAATTCACCAATAAAGCCACTGGACCTGGAGTTTTGTTTGTGGGAAGGATTTGACCTAAGACTCAATTTTTTCAGCAAATATATAGGGCTATCCAAGCTACCAATGACTTCCTGAATGACCTTTGATAATTTGCGACTTTTAAAGAATTTGTCAATTTCATCTACATTGTTGAATTTGTTGGTACAAAGTTGTTTATAATA